TTCTGGAAAAAAGACACACAGAAAATGGTAAGGGAAGAATAGTGGAATAGAAGAATAGAAGAATAGGGGAATAGAAGAATAATCAGAGAGGGGCAGAAGAAGGGAAAGGGAAAGACATATATAGAGGGTTGGGGAAGAACATAAGCAGAGCAAAATAAAGATTTAGAAAATGAGTAAACTCTTGTTTAAGCCAAAAAACTTTCAGAAGATTTCACTTCTGAGCACAGTGCATGAGTGCAAGCTGGTGAGAGATTACTGGCCTGGCCTGAATAGCCTAGTAAAGGGGGTGGGAGAGAACTATTCCTTACTGGAGTCAGACTTTGTGAAATCAAAAGAGAAGCAGGTTTAAAAGGCGAGATGGGAGAGAAAAACCCCCACCCACTTTTAAACAGTGAGTTAATAAATTATCAACAGAAATTAGCACATGAACTCAGAGAGAGAGCAAGGATGCACGAGTGCACATCTCTGCACCAGCAGTCAGCATTCATCAACTTATCCGTTCTTGTGGAAGGACAGAGATTACCCTCAGGACCAGTATGCCAGAAAGGCATGCTTTACCACAGGACTCTGGGACTGGTACTAGCCCTTCACCATCTGCACTTCCCTAAATAAGAACAATAAAGAAGTCTTTCTCCAGGACTCCTGCTTATTTTCATCCTGTCATTTATTTCCCCGTAGGGAAATTTCCTCGGTGTTTCTCCAGGAGCTTCTGTATTGCTCTCAGGAAGGGTGGGGAGAAATTACTACACTGCTGGTCAAAAGTCCAAGAGATATTAAATAAATTGTTCTTCTTAATGCTTTTATTTATTTATGGATGCTGTTATCACTGTAATTTCTCATGCTCAAACCACATAACATATACTACAGCTATTGAGCACTATTTTTACGGGCCAGGCAAATTATTGTACAAAGCTCTTGGACATCTGCCAGGGAGAATTACTGTAGTTATAAAGTAGGCATTTCTGGAGAGGAAACAAAGAGCAAGGAGGAGAAATATAACCACAGACTTCCAGACCTTATCTCTGCTTTGGGATCCCTCTGTCAGAAGACTGTGAAGGACATGCATTTTCTCTGCAGTAAGGGAAACTTGTCATTAAATAATGATGGGGCTAGTTCTGTTTTCAGAAAAGGTGTACAGGGACATTTTTTTGAGGACTAAGGGGACTTCAACTATTGTATTTGCTGTCTGCTAGCATACCAGCTAACACAGCAGCAGGTTTGTTTTCACATGATATTTAAAAAAAAGATAACTGTTCTTTACATTACAACTATACATATTATTCAAATAAGAGTATTTATTATTCTCTGCTGCCCACAGACTTTATCTCTTCACAGAAATTGTACTGCTTTCACTATAAATGCCAAAAATTAAGATACACAAACTCCTCCATCTGGGTGCTGTTATACCACTGTAAGTGCATTTAATTAGTATACTTACTCCTGTATGAGGAAGAGATTAAGCTCGATCTTTAAACAACATGTTAACACCAGCATACTAGTACATACACATAAAACTGTATTGTCATAACTATTTGGAGTGTATGTGTGTGTGGAGGAGAAGCTGTGCAACTGCATCTTGTGGTGTAGGAGTACATGAGGCATCGGTCAGCCTCCTCCTGCCTCTGTAGGCAGCCAGCACAGGCATCACAATATAACAACAAATAATGCAGAATCAGTCCTGACTCCTCTTCTTTTTTGTTTTTTTTTTTTTTAAAGTCTCCACTCAAGCAGAGATATACACTTGTTTAACAGAAGCGCCCAGGATCGCACTGTTAAGAACCAAGAACACATATCTGGAATCAGCTATTTATTGTAAGAACATTGAAACTAATTAATTCCAAATATTCACTGTACTTGGTTGGCATCGATATAGTATTAGAGATCAGAGATAATTTGCAAAAACCCACATGACAGGTTTTTATAGAGGTGGTTTTTTTTTTAACAAAAATATTTGACTTGATAATTTCACTTGCATTGATTTAAATCCCTGTCACAGTGCCACATGCAGGCTCAGTTCTTCAACTGGTATAAATTTGTGCATCTCCATATGGTGCTGATGCATGCCTGCTGAGGACCTAGTGCTACAAATTCTCATTACTGCATATCAGTTATAACTTCAGCTCCTCACACACCATCACAGAGCACAGAAAACAAGGCAGACATTGAGGAAAGAAAGCCCCTTAATTTGTAGTCCAGTCGACAGAGAACTCTGGAATGACAGGACAGGATTTTACTCTTTCCTCCTCAGTTACTAATAGACCGGAGTTCTGGCACCATTTTCATTTTTTCTTTCTGACATCTGCTTACGTCAAGCAGTATCCAGAAGTTTGTAGGAACTGGGACACATACACAGCCTTGCTTGGCTTCAGTGCCTTTATCTGATTCATAGAAATAATAAAAACAGTCACATTAAAATCAACCACAAGCCTAGAAGAGATGTTATCTCACCACCCTGGGTCGATTCTGCCGAAGAAAGCTCTTCATATCTCCTCCAGCCATGAGCTCAAGCAGAATGAAGCGAGGCAGCGTCTGTAGGCTAACACCGATGCACTGCACAATATTTTGGTGATTGAATTTACTGAAAGCCAAGATTGCAGCAATATGGAAGAGAAAGACAGCATTAGTACCTGCCCAGTATCCATCACACTCACTGTGCCTTGAGCTTTGACAACCTGGATTGAAGCAAATCCTGATGCAGTGCAAGTTACCAAATAAATTCCTACTTTGGTCATATCAAAATGCCCTTCTGGTTATGACAGTCCCAAGATCAGGATAATGCCAGGCTTTGCCCATGAAAAGCTTTCAACAGAAGGTATGAAAAGCTGAAAGTAAAGCACAGCCTTCTGTCTGTGAAGAGAGAATTTAATGGACACACTGACTGAAAGATGGGGGTGATGTAAGAGAGAAAGGAAAGTTAAGCACTTCAAACATGGAAATATTATTGCATTTGTGGAACAAAATCCTGACTATTGAGGATTTTAATTCAGCATTGATAATTTTAAATATACTACTGTCCAGTTTGGTGGACTCAGTTCAGTATCTGGTCTGTTAAAGAGGGACTCAGCTAATACCTACTGCGGCAGCTGCTTATGTGATGACTTTCTGCCTCTTACAAAATAAAGCTGAGATTGTCAAGAAGCTCAGTAAGTCATTAGAAAGCAGTATCTTCCCTTGGATTGTGACTACCTGGATAATACAGGAACTAAAAACGAAAAGGAAGTTGGGGAAGAAGAAAGAGTCATGTGCCACTAAGTGAATCAAAGCACTCTGTAATTGATTGAAATTGCCTTTAAAAAAAAATCTGTGTCAGTGTTACCTCCTGCTCAGCTGCCGAAGTTCTCGCAGACTTTAGGAAGTGGCAGTTTGTCATGAGATTCATTCTTTAATACCAGAAAAACAGCATCTAGGTATGAGCTGGGCCAGATAACGAGAGGAGGAACTTCATGTTGCAAAAATTAAAAATGCATACATTCTGATCACTGACAATCAACTCTGACTGTATTATTGTTTTAAAGTCTATGACTATACTGTTGGTTTAAGGTTATGGATTTGGGTTAATAAAGTAAATTCCGAGACTGGAATACTTAAAGTACAGGTGGTAATAGGAATGGCTATCTGTTATCTTTTCCAGGCAGGTTTTATAGATCTCATAGTTCACTGTCAGAAGGCTATGTAGACATTATAAAGGTTCTGTCAAGCTTGCAAAGATACCAAAAGCCAGAACGTATCTAAGAGAAGTGGCCACACTGGGAGAAGGGCTGTGTTCCATCTGTTGAAGCTACACACATAGAGCCCTATTCACTATCTTATCCCTGCAGAGGTTTCAGAGTGTCCCACTCAGCTATTTTTGTGCAAAGAAAGCGTAAAAGCCCAGGATCTTGACTGCAAAAAGCGTTTACTTACGGCAAGCAAGTCTACAGACAGGAAAAGCAAAAAGGCTGCATGTATGCTTAGCTACTGACTGAAAGGAGAAAGCGTTTCCCGTTTGTGGCTTCTTCAGCTGCAAAACCTGCTCTTACAAAAACTCTTATTTGCAAGAGGTAATATAGTTTAAGCGCTAGCATCCAATCCTGAAAGCATACATCCCTGGCACACAGCTTGTGTTGTACCACCTTGGTGCTAGTCTTGCAGAGGCTGAACTTCTGCATCACTGCATAGGTGGCTCTAATCTTTACCTTTCCTATTGCTTTCCATTTCATCATTGAAAATTTATTTTTGAGACATGATTTATACTTAGTGAAAGGGTAATGGAATTCTTTGAAAAGGAAAACATTTCAAATGCAGAACATGTTTGTACAAAAATGTGTCTTTTTACTCCTCTGAACACGATGAGCAGAAATTTTTGTTGAGATATTTTACTGGTTTTGGGTAGGATAGAGTTAATTTTCTTCACAGTAGCTCATATGGTGCTATGTTTTGGATTTGTGATCAAAACAGTGTTAATAACACATTGATATTTTAGCTATTGCTGAGCAGTGCTTATACAACGTTACGGCTTTTCACACCACCCCACCAGCGAGTAGGCTGGGGGTGCACAAGACGTTGAGAGGGGACACAGTTGAGACAGCTGACCCCAACTGACCAAAGGGATATCCCATACCATATGACTTGTGCTCAGCAATAAAAGCTGGAGAAGAAGAAGGAGGGAGGTCATTCAGAGTTTGGCATTTGTCTTCCCAAGTCACCGTTACGCATGATGAAGCCCTGCTTTCCTGGAGATGGCTGAACGCCTGCCTGCCCATGCGAAATAGTGAATGAATTCTTTACGTTGCTTTGCTTGAGTGCGCAGCTTCTGCTGTACCTGCTATGCTGTTTTTATCGCAATCCATGAGTTTTCTTGCCCTTCTAATTCTCTTCCCCATTCCACTGCTGCATGGGCTAAGTTGCCTACTGGCATTAAACCACAACAGATGTGCATCTCCGTTACCTTGTTTGAGATGATCAAGTAGCTGAAACCAGTAACTCATATGCTACTAAAATGCCATCTGGTGAAAAATAAGGCTGGATTTCTTTTCTGAACGCAATCAAGTGGATTAATGATTCTTATTACCTGCATTACTCTTTTTGCCTCTGCCCACTATCAGCATAAAAACCTTAAACTCTACCTGATAATCAATGCTTCCATCAGGAAATCCATTTCATCCTGCTCAGAGCAGACTTCTGGCAGGGTCTGTTGAGAGATAAAGACAGTGAGGACCATCCTGCCAAAGAACTGAGAACATTTAGGTGACCACCAAAGGAAAAAGAAAAAAAAAGAACAGAACAAGCACGTAACGTGAATGAATCCAGGAATCTATGAGGAGGAGTTCCTATTTTCAGTGTCCAGTTTATTGGACTGCATGTGACCCATTTGGTAGTTAAAGTTAGAACAGGAAACTGGTGACCTACTTGGAGATTTTTTGTGTGCATTTAACTATATGCAGTGTTCTGGAGCAAAATAGCTTCAGGTACACCTCAAGACAGACACTAGGTGGGGAATTACAGACCTAGTAAACACTTTAAAATGACAGATGTTAATTTATTCTCCCTTTTCTATATATCCACATTGCAGCATATGCTTCCATGTTGTATGACACATACAGCCAAATGATTTAAAAAATTGGGTCACATGGCCTTACAGCTTTGTCTCCTGCCAGCAGATTTGGGCAGCATTTGCCCCTGATAAACATGAACTGAGAGCGCAGGCAGCAGTAGAAGCAGTGCCTGCTGCTGTGCCCGCTGTTTTAACATCACAGGATGGTTTGGCCACAGCTGTGCATGGTGCCTGCTGCCAAACTGCATGCAGAGAGGTGGGACGCTTGCTGCTCAGTGTGGTGAGGCTGGCATGGAAACAGTTCTTGTCGTCAGTAGTGTGGGCTACAGAAGACAGGGTTGCATTTTGCTATCTCAGATAAGTCATTACTTCACACAGGACAGTGCGGATGATCTATTAAATTGGCGCAATACCCACAAACAATACGTGGAGTATGTTGCAAATCTATTTCTTAATTTATTCTCAGTCTGCACCTACTTCTTCTGCAAAGTCAGCTCAGGACTGCTACGCTCCATCATGAAGCAAGGCAAGCATGGTCACAGCTTGGGCCCCATGGGTATTCTGACAGTTTTCAATCAGCAGAACAGCAGCTTTTTGGTGATGTTACAGGGAACTGAGTGAACAAGTGGGCAGGTGGACAGACAGCGCCCTAACAAGTAGCCATCATTGCTGAGACTTTCAAACTGGTGACATCCTCATTGGGTTATCACAACCGGACAGCACACCAATTTGCTTCTGTTTGCCACTGTGCTGTGGTGCTTCTTCCAGTCTGGGCAGTAAAACTGGGTTCAGAAACAGCTTGCTAGTGTCTGTTCTGGGTTTTCATACATATTCATTCAGTGGCACAGTGAAGTTCATAACAAAATGCCATAATACGTGATCCTTTTTTTTTTTTTCTTTAAAAAGAGGTTTTGAAAGACTGGACAAATAACAATATAACTTATTTTTGTTAAGGAAATCTACATTTTGGCTTGAACTCATAGATTTGGTTTGCTGAGTCACAAGCTTATAAAAGAACAAAAGCAGGCTATGAGTATCCTTAACTTCAGGGCTGAGTAACTGACAAATCTTGAGGCAACAGCAGTAATTTCACCGAAAACCAGTCTGTTATCTCTGGCTATTAATGACATGGAAATCAGCATGATATCATAATATATATTCATAGCATCATATTTAACACTGTGCAATACTAAAAGACTACCTGAAAGTTTCAGATATAGTAGACAAACACTACTCTCTGCATAAAGGAAGTGTAACTGAGAAACAATACAATTTTTGAAATAAGGTAATGTCATGTGAAAAACTTAGGAGAAAGCACTCAAAATCACTGAAATGGTGAAGTAATAATATATACACATTACTATAAACGTTTACTGTTTGCTGTCACATAAATGTGTCATACTAATATTTGCCAGGGCTTTTTTTTCTTTATACAAGATTTAGAAATCTCCTTCTAGTCTACAATGCCCCTTGTTGCTATTTTTTCCCCTTAAGTTTCTTTTTTTTCTTGGCTACTCAGATCTATAAATCATTAGGGCAGAAAAACTGTTGTGACAGATTCTCTGCTGGAGTGAATTGATGGTTCTGTGTTGATTTCAAGGGAGCTATATTTATTTGTGTGATAGAGAACTTGTTATTTTTTTTTAACTGATAGTATTATGCAGTCTCTAGGTGGCTAATTCACACAACCTTCTGTCTAAGGGCACTGGTTCTATCTCTCCTGAGCAATGGGAGTGGAACCCACAAAAGAGATTCTCTTTTTTAGATTCTTCTCCTAGTTAGATCACAAATTACAGTCACTAGGCATGCAGCAAAGACAAATGCTTTACTTCAACCCGCTGCTAGTGCCATACAGCTTAAAAATCAAAGTTTATAATTCCTGGATGCAGCAATATGTGGAAACCTGCATCATAGACATGCATATACCATTATGCATGTGATGAACGTGAATCTCCAACTGGAATAGAAATAAGATAATATGGCTCTTCTGGGTAATTATTGTTGTATAAGAAATTTGTCGGTACTGACCTTGATAGCCACTTGAAGAGGGTTGGGATCCCCTGCAATGCCTACCACGGTTCCCTCATAAACCTCACCAAATGCACCATGTCCTAGTGCCCTGGAAGGTAAAAAAGAGAAAACAGATGTTACTATGCCTCTGGATCCAGCATTGGCTGAGCTCTTCATCCAGAATAGGAGTAGAATCTTCTGTAAGAGATGGAATCAACAACAGTGTGTTTTTTCATCTCAAAGCTTCTGAAAATAACTTTGCAGTAGTTTCTGTCACTGTCACTAAAGCATGAAGGTTGGATCCTTAATTGTTCTGAACAAATAAAGCAGCCTGCTCAATCTTAGGTCCCTTTCACCAAGTAAGGCAAGAAAGAACTGGAAAACGACAGAATAAGGTGGCCGCAAGCTAATGTCTTCAGGAGATGTGTAAGACAGCACATAAGAATGATTAAGTTTTTCCTTCTGAAGTTTACATAACTTTGATCAATATCATCTGGATGGTATAGAGCCAAAGAGCAACCTAGCATGTATTTCCTTGTAACAGGAAATGCTGAAATAGAAATACTGCTATAGATTTGGAAGGAAGTTACTGCCAGGCGGCAAGTGTAAACCAGCACATAGTACAAAAACCACAGAGGTGAAATACCCTATGCTCTGTGTGGGAACATGGAACAGGAGACTCACGAGCTTACACTTATGCTTAAGAACTTTATGGAATCAAAATATCTTAGAGAACATAATAAGTGTCACATCTGTCATATTTTGTCTGGCTTGAACTAGGTGCTTTCCAGTTAGTCAGACATGTGGCCCTCGTTTTCTTGTCCTGGATACTTGATGATGAGTAAAACAAGCATGCGAGCCCCACCTCTGCCCTCGCTTCAGGCTGCCTTTCCCCTCCCGTGCCAGAGTGCAACCCCTGCCACAAGCCTTACCTAAGCAGAGAGATGTTCTTCCGTGGGATCTCCTTCAGCTCGCTCAGAGCAGCGGCCTTCCCTGCGAAGCAGTAGTTGGGGTTGTAATCTGTCATAATGGCTGACGTGCGGATTTTGCTCAGTTTATATTCTGGGCTCTGCAGTCGTGCTCTGGCTCCTTCCAGCTGCTGCTTCTTAAGGTGATAAACTGGGGGTGGGGAAACAAATGAAAATACAGAAACAAGATCAACGCCCAGAGAGAAAAGACAATGCTGGCCACACAGAACAGAAAGAAACCAACTCCATAATTCTAAATGCTCAAGAAGTATCTTTAGCTCCGCAGTATCAGGATCTTCTCCATGCTTTTAATAGGGTTTTAATACTGGATATGCAAACCATGTTATTACTGCAGAGTCCTAATCACCTGGGGGCAACTTAGGTTTCCTCTGCTTCTGTGTACATCGGCTGAGGAAAGGCTGCTCCACAAGACACCTTGCTGGCATCGAGTCCCAAAAAGCATACATACCATCTCCCTGAATGAATTACATGTTTGATTGCAGACTGTGACTTCAGCCTATGTAACAGTGGTTGCTGAAGAAAAGCCTGCTAAGAGGGCTTTCCAAGCTCTTTTCTCCGTAGCAAATACCAGGACAGAGCAGTCCTTATCCTTTGGGACTACGCTCGTGCCTAGGTATGGTGTGTGGTGATGTTTTCTATCACTTCTTTCTCCCGGTCCCTCTGATCCACTTGAGAGACCACAACACTCTGGCTCCAAGCATTAAAAGTAGTAGCATGCAATTGGGTCATATCCTTTTGTCTAATTTAACTGGGAAAAGCCAAGTCAAAGGGTAAGGAGTAAGTATTTCTTACTGATAGATAGGCTGCCACAAGTGAGGATGATTCCAAGCACCACAATCACAGCCACCACAGCTAGGAGGAGTGGAAGAGGCAGGTGTCCCTCTGGGATAGGACCCTGGGGCACTGGAAAAAGAAAAACAGAGGTGTATAAATCAGAAAAAATAACAGACCTGCTGTAAAGTATCCCTCTGAAGGTTGCTCCTATTTCAGAAAACAACACAGAGATCATGGCCAGACCATCTTATAAAAATTACAGCAAATCCCTCTACAGCCCTGGAGGTTGAAAAAAAAAAAACAAACCAAACAACAAAGCCAACAACAATATAATTTTAAAAACTTTGTGAAGATAAAAAACTAACTGATAAAACACAGATTTCTTTTCCATTCTTAATTTTTTTATGAATAGGTAACATCACTGCTCACAAGTTAAAACTGTCTACAGCCTTGATGCTTTGGAGTCCCAAGAGACTGTGTCAAGAAATAACAGTGAATACCAGGCGTCAGCTGAACAGGCGCAGTGGGAAACTGCTGTGAAAGGAAGTAATTTGTGGCTGAAATAACTCAGCAGCAGGTGGTATAACATACCAGAGAGGTATTTACACTTAAATATCTGGTACACTGTGCCCATTCAGGACATTTACACTGTGTCTCTTTACAGATATTTTACCTTCTACCTAATCCAAACCTGAATGTTGGAGATGGTGACAGAGATGCAGCTCAGCGTGTAAGGAAAGGATATCAGGAGTTTTCAGTCCTACGTTTGACTGACATTTCTCACAACATTGTGTTCACTGGAGCCACAAGCTGTAACTTGGGGAATTGACCATGAAAAAAGTCAGGAGGAGAGACAATACAAAGAATCCAATGAGGATAAGACTTCCCATCTTACCAGTGCAGGTGACATTGTCGTTGGCTAGCACAGCCCCCATCTCACATTGGCAGACTGGCAGGTTTGTGTCAGGATCCCGCTTACAGTTGTCTGAGTGGCAGTGGCTGCAGTTAAGATAGATCTGAACCTCCACCTCACCATGACTTTCCATGGCTGAACAAGGAATCAGAAACAACAGCAGTTTTTCCCATTTTGTTCCAGTAAGGTAAAAAAACCACAAAACCCAGCAGGCACCTATGACTTTTTGCCTCTGCAGGACAGCAAATAGTCCAACACAGTGTGGACATGTCAGAAATCTGATGGGGACCAGAAGGAAAGAAAGTATTGGGTCCAAGAAGGTATTGGGTCCCTCAAGCAAACAGAGAGGTCTTGAAGTTAATTGACCTGGAAACGTCTGGGACTGAGTACGTGCAGTTGAACCTGATGACTGGTCTCTCTCCTGGCTTAGAGATTGAGAGGAAAAAGATCCCAGAGCACTACAGAAATATTTAAAGAAAGGTCCACAGCTAAGTATCTGCTCTGCAGAGTGAAACATGCCTGAATGAAATGCATAAAAAGCAAAGACAGGAGGAGAGGGACCAGGAAAGAGGAAATAGAGAGGAAGAAGGAAAAAGGAGGAAGAAAAGAACTAAGAGCAATAAGAAGTATATTGTACCTGCCAGGGGATGCAAGAAGATCTCTCCAATGGGGTTCACAAAAGAGATGCCATCCTGCCCACTGGCTGTGATATCATCATTATCGGAGGCATGCCCCCCTGGGGAAAGAAGAGTATGGCTAGCCGAGCAGTCCTGCATGTTGCAAAAAATGTGATGCCTCTGAAGTGTTGCATCCATTCCTGGCTCTTATCACCTGGAGTCACTCTGCAGCCTTCCAGGGATACTTGTATGTACAATGTCCTTAATGAATACATGCTCACTTGACCCAGCCAGTACCAAGGTTAGTGATGTGACTTATTCCAATGTAGGTTTCTCAGTTCAGCAAGGTAAAAATATATTTGCTTTAAACAGAAAAAAGAAATGGAACATTTTCCCTAGGCAACGTGGGAACGAATGAAGGGGTGATCCAGCACACCTTCCAAATATTAAATCATGTAGAACATATCTATAACCTTGATTGCCCCAATTAAAGAGAGATAACAGAGAGTAAGGTGAGTTTCATACTCTTCAGCTTGAAGTATGTGTGAATCACCTGTTGCAGCAGTGCACCTCTGTACTAACAGCTCTAGCCCGTAACTGCAGGTGCTCTGAAGGTTGCAAAATTAGACAGCATGACTCCAGCAGACTTACCTCTGTAGCCTCCGCCTCCTCCTCCAGAAGTACAAGCTCCTCCTCCCCCGCCAAAACCACCAGAGGTGGCCCACTGGAGCTTGGCTAGTGCTTGAGAACAAGCTTGACCCCCTTCTCCACCTTCCAGAAGGGACTTCCCAGCCTGAGGAAGCAGACTATCACCTTGCCAGCCACCACCTCCACCTTCAGTCAGAGAGTGAGAGAACAAAACGAGAACAGGTGAGGGAAGCACAAGCAGAGGAAAGTAAGAGATCTACTGTAGAGAGACAGAGATTGACCCTTATTAATTTCTTAAGTGCCTGGATTGAAGTTAACTCTTTTGTTAAGGTTAAGAGAATACACAGACAAGCTCCTTGTTGCCAACATGTGCTGGGTTTATGTGGTGGGGTTTTGGTAGCAGGAGAGGGGCTGCTCTCTCTGTAAGGAGATGTGAGAAGCTGCCCTGGCTCCAAAACCAGCCAAACCCATCTCTGGCTGGGTTGGACCCACCTCTGACCAGGGCTAAGCAAATCAGCCCTTTTGTGAATGACATATTTAAGAAGGTGACAAAGAAACCTGTGCCATGTGGGACCTGCAGTGAAAAGAGGGAGGAGGAAGGGGGCTGGCCCCCTCTCCAGCCTCCCGTGTGGGTGGCTGCCCATGTTGGGCTGCTGCCACTTGACTGGTGATGGCCACGGTGGCACAGCTTGGAGAGCTCTGAAGCACTCTGCTCCCAGGGTGCCCACTGGGCGGAGTTCATCCTGCTGGGACTGCTGAGGTTCGTCAGGCTGGTCAGGCCCAGGGCAGCTGCAGCAGAGAGAGGACTGAGACCTGAGAGAAACGGCTACACAGACACCGAGGGCAGTGAAGACGGAGCAGGAGGAGGTGTGCTAGAGCTGAGATTCCCCTGCAGCCTGTGGTGGGACGATAGGCAGGCCCCCTGCCGCCCATGAGAGACACAGAGGAGCAGAGATCTACCCACAGCCCGAGGAGGACCCCACACTGGAGCAAAGATGCCTGTGCCCAAAGGAGTTCATAGAGGACTGTCTCCTGTGGGAAAGGACCCCATGCTGCTGGAGATTGGCAGTGGAGCAGCAATGCATCTGCAGTCTGTGGGAAGGGACCCCATACTGAGGTGGGTGGCTGTGCCCTAAGCCATGACTTCGTTGGGAAAAGCCAATGCTGGAAGAATCTGATGGGTAAGGACTGGATTCCATGGGAAGGACTCATGTTGGACAAGTTCGTGGGGGATTTTCTCCTGTAAGAAGGGACCCCATGTTGGAGGGGAAGAGTGTGAGGAGTCCTTCCCCTGAGGGGGAAGAAGCAGCAGAAATAGCATGTGATGAACTGACCTGCAACCCCCATTCTCCGTCCCCCTGGGCAGCTGGGGGTAGGATGTAGAGCCAGGAAGAAGAAAGGGGTAGGAAGAAGATGTTTTTAAGATCTGATTTTGTTTTTCATTATCCTCTCTGAAGTAGCTGCTGACGAATTAAATCGATTTGTGCCCAGGCTCAGTCTCTTTTGCCTGGGACCATGGTCAGTGGGTGATCCCTCCCTGTTCTTATCTCAACCCTCAGGCCTTCTGTTACGATTTTCTCCTCTCCACCCCACTTGGGGGGAGGGGTGAGCAAGCAGCACTGGTAGCTTAGCTATCAGCTGGGCTAAACCACAACACACAGATAACAACAAAGTGGAAATCTAAAAATCTAATGCACAACCTGTGGTACATGCTGCATAACCAGCACCTTAGCACTACTTTCTAGTGGCATTAGGGAAATAAGGAGCCCACTACTCCCCTTCTGGATAACTGGTAGGTCTTTAAGCCATGTGAAATGCTGAGTTCCCCCAAGGAAATAAAAAATAAACCGGATTTCCTCATCTCCCTCTAGTGGCCCCTCTATAAGGCTATTACAGCAGGAGATGGAGAACCATTGAATTTTTTTCTCTCTTAGGATTGGGTTCTACGATTCTAGGCACAGCTGTTACAAGATTATAAATAAGCTTCCATTTTTGGTATAATTCCCATACCATCATTCTTCTTGTTAGAGTTTCAGAGGAGTAACAGGGAAAAAGTCTTCTTTTCAAAGGCCATTGTTACAGTGTGCAGGAGTGGGCTCCATTCACCTAAACATCATTTTCACTGAGTCATTTCACAGAAGAGAGGAGTCCTCCTACGGAATAGCCTCTACCGGAGCACTCATCACCTGTCCTATGCATTCTCTTTTGTCTGGTGACACACTGTATAAGAAGACATCCTTGTCATGGTTTGATATGGAGGGGGTGGGGGTTCTGGTGGCAGGAGAGGGGTTTTGCTCTCTGTGACCTCCCTGGTTTTGGAACCGGGTTAGGCTTAGTTCTGGCCACCAGATCAGACTCCCATCCCCCTCCAGGTTGAGCCAATAGGGCGCCTCTGCGAATTGCCCTATTTAAGTCGGGACGAAGGAACCAGAAAAGGTGCTTTGCCCAGGAGTGAGGAGAGAAGGGAGGAGGGCACTGCCCCGCTCCCTGGCTCCCGGCCGGGCAGCTGCCTGCGTCGGGCCGGCACCGCCCACGGAGGATGGGGGCGGGGGAGCCCGCCTGGGGAATC